GTACACTGCCCTGCTGTCCCCTGTACACTGCCCTGCTGACCCTGGTACACTGCCCTGCTGTCCCTGTACACTGCCCTGCTGACCCCTGTACACTGCCCTGCTGACCCCTGTACACTGCCCTGTTGACCCTTGTACACTGCCCTACTGACCCCTGTACACTGCCCTGCTGACCCTTGTACACTGCCCTACTGACCCCTGTACACTGCCCTGCTGACCCCTGTACACTGCCCTGCTGACCTCCCATTCTCTGCCCCCCTGACATTTTTATTGCACTCCCACATCAGACAGGCAAGATCCGGTCCTGGGCCAGTCTATCTGTCTTATCCAGCTGTGTATTCCACCTTGGGCCCCAACATCCTTATTATACTAGAATTGGTGTCTGTGGACCTTGCTGAATGAGACGTTCCGGGTCCCATTGGGAGGTGACGGAGGTGCACCCCTCCAGTGTGATGTGTTTTTATCAGTTGTATGTCTTGTGATCTGTTGGGTTCTACCTGGACCTTCTCAATTCCCTAGAAGAGAATATCTCGAAATGCGTCGGAATATGAAAACGTGTTACCCAAGTTGTACTGCGATCACTAGATCTTTTATTAGCTTTGTTTCATTTTCATGTCTTTTTTGGTATCATGTGACAAATACAATTTGTAGTTTACTTATCTAGTAGTTGAAATTCCTGCAAATTCCCGGTTGTGTTGAATATGCTATTATAGGGATGTTGGCATTCTGGGATGTGGGTGGAGACACTTGTTGATGTCTTTCCGTTGTACTCAAAAGGTCGCCTCCCGGGCAGAAATGGTGACATTTTGGCATTAATATTGAAAATCTGACTGATCTGCCAGAAACCGTCTGTTATTGAAGGATGGTGATGACATGAAGCTATTTATTATCACATCGTTGTTCGGCTCCTTTTAAAATCCTGTTGATAACAGAAATCCCCCCGGAATCAAAAGTTTCCCTCCCCTGGAATGTCGGGCCTTGGTACAGACAAAGAGACACACACGGGGTACAATGGCAATTAAGGGTTAATTTCCCACATCTGTGACTTTTTACATTGAAATTAGTGTCTGTGTATAAATAGTTAATGAATTTGTTAGATCTCATGGATGTGCTGAGCAGGCTAGGTACTGAGCCATGGGGAGCAGAAAAGAACTGTCAAAAGACCTGCGTAACAAGGTAATGGAACTTTATAAAGACGGAATAGGATATAAAAAGATATCCAAAGCCTTGAATATGCCGGTCAGTACTGTTCAATCACTTATTAAAGCGGAGTTCCACTCACTCTGTAAAAAAATAAGTCAGCAGCTACAAAAACTGTAGCTGCTGGCTTTTTAAAACAGCCACTCACCTGTCCCACGATCCCGCGTTGCCCCTGCCGCAGCCCGTTTCACCGGCCATCCTCTATTCCAGGCTTCGGCATCTTCAGTTTTGGCACCAGGCTGTGCCAGCTTGCGGCTTCACAGCCGGGTGCCCACTGCGCATGCGCAAGATGCATTGCGCTTCCTGAATGGTCCTGTGGTTTTCAGGGACCTGTCACGTGTCACACAAGACTTTGGGGAGGGAGGGGGGGGGACAACTTCCGCTTCCGATCGCCTAGGCATTCACAGCGAAAGTGGGAGCGGGTACCTGTCAAATTTGGGTACCCGCCCCCCCTCCCTGCTCCCCAAAGGTGCCAATCCTTAATGGGGAGCGGGGGGGGGACCAATCTTTAAAGTGGAACTTCCCCTTTTGGGTGGAACTCCGCTTTAAGAAGTGGAAAACTCGAGGATCTCTTGATACCAAGCCAAGGTCAGGTAGACCAAGATAGATCACAGCCACAACTGCCAGAATTGTTCAGGATATAGAAAAAAAATCCCACAGGCAACCTCAGGAGAAATACAGGTGGCTCTGGAAAAAGACGGTGTGGTTGTTTCAAGGAGCACAATACATACAGTAGTTAGTCTGGCTGAAAAACGACAAATGTCCATCCAGTTCAACCATTAAAAAAAAAAAGTTATAATCCTACACCCACAGTTGATCCAGAGAAAGGCAGAAACCCAGCAAAGCACGATCCAATTTGCTCCTGCAGGGGAAAAAATTCCTTCCTGATCCCCCGAGAGGCAATCGGATATTTCCTGGATCAGCTTTCCCTATAAATGTTATATCCAGTTATATTCTGTGTATCCAAGAAAGAATCCAGGACTTTCCTCCAGCAATCCACTGAGCTGGCCACAACCAACTCTGGAGGGAGTCTATTCCACATTCTCACAGCTCTTACTGTGAAGAAACCTTTCCGTGTTTGGAGATTACGACGATACATGAACAAAAATGAGCTGCATGCAGGGGCGGACTCACCATTCCGGGAATCAGGCACCCAGGGCCCGGGGTCAGTAGGGAGCTCCATGAGATGCCCCTGGTACGTTTCATAGGCTTTTTTGGGTGTGGTTTGAATGTAGGTGAGGACACAGGGGCCCCCTGAGTTGTATGAAAGAGGCCTTTACTGCGCCAATGCCACATAAAAGCCCGGTTACAATATGTCAAACAAGACCTTGACACACCTCACCGGGCTTTTTTTTTTGCGGCATTGGCGCAGTAAAGGCTTCTTTCTGGCGACTCGACCATGCAGGCCATTTTTGTCCAAGTATCGTCGTACTGTGCTAACTGAAACAACCATTTCTTTTATTTGCTCCCCATGGCTCAGTATGCATAAATAAAAGACATTTTTGGGTGCGATCGGCCCTATTTTCATTATCAATGCCAAAATTTCACCATTTCTTCACAAGTTGCAATAAAGTCTTCAGAAATCGCACACAAATCTTGTGATTTTAAATCGCAGTGGTGTGACTGGTGGCTAAAACTTAATTTTTTTTTAAACTCCTTGGCGCCGAGCGTACGCAAATATGTGGCCTTTTAGCGGCTGGGCCCTAGTGCCGAGGAGCCGCATGTTTGCGTACCCAATGTAAGCAAAACGTGCGCCGAGAGCGCTCACCCTGCACGCTCCTGGCACATTTACCAGCGCCTCATGGAAAGGTCCCAAATGCTGCTTGGGTCGGGAGCTTTTCGATCATGTCACATGACCCTAATCCCCACCCCGTCTCCTGGTGTCACCAACCCCTTAGAGGGCCAGGAGGCTCCGGCACCAAGGAGTTAAATTACCAAACATGTCATACTTACCTGCACTGTGTAATGGTTTTGGTCTTCTTTTCAGGTCCCCTCCCCCTCGAGCAGTGCCCCCAGGGAAAGCCGCTCGCCCTGGGGGCACCACTGCGTGGAGGTTGTGCAAACTGTATATAGGGTTTTGATGGGAATTTCTAGTAATAGTCATTAGTAAGACAAGACACGGCCTCTGTATTAAACTTTCCTTTATGACACAGATACAGATCACAGAACAGACATTGATCTGAATGAATGATTACAGCTGCCACAGATTAGACGTATAACACATTGAGATACTAGCATGCAAAGATACACAGCTCCATGTCTGCCGGGGCCACAACGACCCTGCCTCCCACAACAAGAACACACCTATCCTTTCCACGCGGCAAATTCGGCTCCGCAGTCTTCTTAAAGAGTCCCTTCTATGAGATCGGCTGACCTTGGATGGTTCCCCAACCCCTATAGTACTCTTGGGATGTCTGGGATCAACACAGAATTGCTTCTGATAGATAGAAAGGACATAAAAGATGAAGAGAATTCATTAGGACTCAACATGAGGAGTAATTAATTATGACTCATTAATGGTAAACTCCATCCAAATCTTGTATTTCAGGTGCGCATCACATCATGGCTTCTTATAGATTGGCCCATACAGTAGAAGACCTTCTGTGGGTGGTGAGGTGAAGGGACGGATGGTGATGTCACAACAAAAGTCCAAATACTATGACATCATCAGCACAACATATTCAAAGAGGAAGAGGGGACATTTGTCTGTCATCCATTAGAAGTGACGTTTGGAGGCCAGTAAGGACCTCAAGCAGCAGTAACAGTCACTGGTGCCTAAGGAAGAGGTCCCTAGTGGTCTCAAAACATCACTTCTTAAATGTCCTTTCTCCATCCATCAATATGGTGTGCTGGTAATATGTCATTTGGGCTTCTTTTAGAGACTCAGTTGTGGAGGTTTTGCTGCAGTAAGTTATGTCTCTACCGCTGAAACAATGGTGTCATTGGACTCCAGCTCTTTGTTCTACATGGTAGAGAACCAAAGAAGAAAGTCAACATCAATTGGCTTTGTATTGCTGAAGGCCATTGGGTGGATCTGAAAAATCTGGTGCTGACTTTATTGCCATAGAGAATGCTATATATAAGAAGGTAATGTGATACAACTTGGTGGTAGCCACTGAAAACTAAATGATCACAGATGCCAAAATAAAATATTGGTGAAAGCAGGCCCATAGTTTGCAACAGGGTTTCTCAACCAGGGTTCCATAGAGTGCTAGGGTTCCTCCAGAGGTTGCTAGGGGTTCCCTGAGCAATGTCTGCCTCTCAGATACGTTCCCACTGACACCATAGATCTTTTTAGCTATCTGTAAGGGGGGAATTCTTCCCAATGACCACAAGTGTAAGAAGCATTCTTCCCACTGACCACCAATGTAAGGGGTAATCTTCCCACTGACCACCAATATGAGGGACATTCTTCCCACTGATCACCAACGTAAGGGACATTCTTCCCACTGACCCCCAATGTAAGGGACATTCTTCCCACTGACCCCCAATGTAAGGGGAAATCTTCCCACTGATCACCAATGTAAGGGACATTCTTCCCACTGATCCCCAATGTAAGGGGAAATCATTCCACTGACAACCAATGTAAGGGACATTCTTTCCACTGATCACCGATGTAAGGGACATTCTTCCCACTGACCTCCAATGTAAGGGATATTCTTCCCACTGACCCCCAATGTAAGGGACATTTTTCCCACTGACCCCAAATGTAAGGGACATTCTTCCCACTGACCCCCAATGTAAGGAACATTCTTCCCACTGACCACCAATGTAAGGAGCAGTCATCCCACTGAACCCCAATGTAAGGGACATTCTTCCCACTGACCCCCAATGTAAGGGACATTCATCCCATTGAACACCAATGTAAGGGACATTCTTCCCACTGACCCCCAATGTAAGGGACATTCTTCCCACTGACCCCCAATGTAAGGGACATTCTTCCCACTGACCACCAATGTAAGGGACATTCTTCCCACTGACCTCCAATGTAAGGGACATTCTTCCCACTGACCACCAATGTAAGGGACATTCTTCCCACTGATCACCAATGTAATGAGCATTCTTCCCACTGACCCACAATGTAAGGGACATTCTTCCCCTGACCCCCAATGTAAGGGACATTCTTCACACTGACCACCAATGTAAGGGACATTCTTCCCTCTGACCTCCAATGTAAGGGACATTCTTCCCACTGACCCCCAATGTAAGGGACATTCTTCCCACTGATCACCAATGTAAGGGACATTCTTCCCACTGACCTCCAATGTAAGGGACATTCTTCCCACTGACCACCAATGTAAGGGACATTCTTCCCACTGACCACCAATGTAAGGGACATTCTTCCCACTGATCACCAATGTAAGGGACATTCTTCCCTCTGACCTCCAATGTAAGGGACATTCTTCCCACTGACCCCCAATGTAAGGGACATTCTTCCCACTGATCACCAATGTAAGGGACATTCTTCCCACTGACCCCCAATGTAAGGGGCATTCTTCCCACTGACCCCCAATGTAAGGGACATTCTTCCCACCAACCTCCAATGTAAGGGACATTCTTCCCACCGACCACCAATGTAAGGGACATTCTTCCCACCGACCACCAATGTAAGGGACATTCTTCCCACTGATCACCAATGTAAGGTGCATTCTTCCCACTGACCCCCAATGTAAGGGACATTCTTCCCACTGACCCCCAATGTAAGGGACATTCTTCCCCTGACCCCCAATGTAAGGGACATTCTTCACACTGACCACCAATGTAAGGGACATTCTTCCCTCTGACCCCCAATGTAAGGAGTATTCTTCCACTGACCATCCCACTAATGTATCAGGAGTTGTAGATATAGTCATTTTTAGCAGGGGTTTCCTGAGACCAGAAAGTTATTTCAAGGGTCCCTCTGGTTATACCAACTAAAAAACAAACAAAAGGTTTGGCCACAATCAGATTTTGACTAAAAGGGATAAGGAACAGTTATGAGTAAGAAAAACTCACCAAATATATTACAATCTGATTGTAAAATCTCCTTTAGATCTACCAACATCTATGTAGCATGAGCGCCTGCCCAACTGGACATAAATGAACAGGATGTTACGGTAGACGCTAATATTACATGATTTTAGGAAAAACTCAAAAGTTGTACAAAGACAGTCCTGCCAGACTGTAGGGTGAATGGAGAGTTTAGGGTGTTTAAACAATTCTGTAGCCAAAAGCCAGTCCTAATGATCCTATTACTGCAGAGGCATTGCATATTAGCTTTGGTTGGGTCCTGATGATACTTGAAACAAAACCACCAAAAGAAAGATCCTCCAAGTCCCAATCTTGAGATACCTATGATAAGCTAGGGGAGTCACTGGTACTGCATCAGAACATCAAACAATTCAAATAAAAACCTGCTTTAGACTTAATCCTAGTGTGAATTTACAAAAAAATGTTTGTAAATTCTCACTAGGGTTCAGTGAGTCTAAACCAGGTTTTTTATATGAATTGTTTGATGTCCTGATGATACAGAACCAGCAAAGCCAGAAAAATCTTGTTCTCAACCATCTATGGCCTTCAAAAATGGTAACTCGACTCAACATTGCTATTTGACTTTTTTTTTGCAGTTGAGTGGCAACTCTCAAGAACTCCAAGGACAACCTATTCCTACTAAAACGTTCAGTCCTCCCCTACTAACATCCAATACAGAACAAGATAATTTGGTCATGCTTTTCTGATGCAGACTAGACTTTCTCAAACAGGGTTCCTCAGAGGTTGTTAGGGGTTCCTTGAGCAATGAGCAACTTCTGCCTCTCGGATGAGTAACCACTGACACCAATGTTTTTTTTTTAGCTATCTATAAGAGGGGGGTACTTCCTTCTGACCCTAAATGTAAGGAACACTCTTCCTTTTGACCAACACACTAATGTACTATGTGTTGTAGATATTATCAACAGGGGTTCCCTGAGACCAGAAAGATATTTCAAGGGTTCCTCCACGTTAAAACGGTTGAGAAAGGCTGATGTGGACAAAATAAAAAGGAGGAGACCGGATGAGAGGGGTTGACACCTTCATTATGGCCTTGTGACAGGGCAGAGGCACAAACTACTACAGAGATAACTCGCTGATATAGAAAGCTTGAAAGGGATCCAACTCACCTGGACCTACCCAAAACAGACAGATTAGTTTTGGATGGAGTTGACCTTTAATGAAAACCCATCAGTACAGAAAAATGGTAGCTGCTGTTGTTGACGTATTTTTTTGAGGTGGAAGCTTCAAAGATGTCATCCTTATCCTTCCTTCACTACTTTGTGGGTCATTGACCTGAATAAGTTACTTCTTCACCTTCTTTTGCTGCTTACCTGTTCCAGTAAATTATAGTGAAGCAAGGAAAGCCTGACAGCCCCGATCCTTGCACATTGTCTACACTATATGGGCAAAGGTTTATGGATGGAACTGTTGGCCGTCCCATTTCAAAACCATGGGCATTAATTTGAATTTACTTCCCCCCAATCCCTTCCCATAAGAGCTACACCCTTTTGGAAAGGCCTTCTACAAGATGTTGGAGTGTGCCTGTGGGAATGTGAGCCCAATCAGCCAAAAGAACATTTGTGAGATCAGGTATTGACGTTGGATGAGAAGGCCTGGCTCACAATTGATGTTCCAATTCACCGCAGAGGTTTTCAGTAAGGTTGGCTCTGTGTAGGCCACTTGTTACCTCCACACCAAACCATGTCTTTATGAAGATGTTGAATGAAAAGACCTTGCTCATTCCAATTCATCCCAAAGATGTTTAGTAGGGTTAAGGTCAGGGATCTGCGTAGGCCACTCATGTTCCTCCACACCAAACTTATCAAACCATGTCTTTATGGTTTTGGTTCACCCGGATTAGGCTTAGTTATAGCGCTACCTCTATGAATAAGCCTAGTCATTTGTGAGATTGGGTATTGTTATTGGATGAGAAGACCTGGATCACAACTGGCATTCTATTTTATTTCAAAGATGCTGAGTAGGGTTGAGGTCAGGGGCCAGGGCTCTGTGTAGGCCACTTGTGTTCCTATACACCAAACCATGTCTTTATGAAGATGTTGAGTGAGAAGACCTTGCTCCTTCCATCTCATCCCCAAGATGTTCAGGGCTCTTTGTCAGTAAGGTTGAGGTCAGGGCTCTTTGTAGGCCACTCATGTTCCTCCACGCCAAATCATATCTTTAGGAAGATTTTGGATGAGAAGACCTTGCTCCTTCCAACTCATCCCCAAGATGTTCAGTAGGGTTGAGGTCAGGGCTCTTTGTAGGCCACTCATGTTCCTCCACGCCAAATCATATCTTTAGGAAGATTTTGGATGAGAAGACCTTGCTCCTTCCAACTCATCCCCAAGATGTTCAGTAGGGTTGAGGTCAGGGCTCTTTGTAGGCCACTCATGTTCCTCCACGCCAAATCATATCTTTAGGAAGATTTTGGATGAGAAGACCTTGCTCATTCCAATTCATCCCCAAGATGTTCAGTAGGGTTGAGGTCAGGGCTTTGTGTAGGCCACTCATGTTCCTCCACACCAAACCATATCTTTATGAAGATTTTGGATGAGAAGACCTTGCTCATTCCAATTCATCCCCAAGATGTTCAGTAGGGTTGAGGTCAGGGCTTTGTGTAGGGGACTCATGTTCCTCCACATCAAACCATCAAACCACGTCTTTATGGATATTTTATGGGTGTCCACATCCCTTTGCCCATACAGTGTACCTTAATCAAGGGTATGTGCATGTCATATATAAAACAACATTGTGGTTCTAGGACTTTATCTTCAGATTGAAGTCCATCACAGTAGCCCAGGTACCTTCTGATAGCGGAGAGAACATTAAACAAACAAAAAAATGTGAATAATCACCATTTAGACTCCCAACATTCAGGACTCCGAAACTACAAGACTGCTTTTTCTTTTTCTCCAACATTACAATAGAACGAGGACAGAGAAAAGGGACTGATGCCATTTGGCAGTGTGACAGAAAACACCATATAGAAACTCTCCATGATGCCACCGAAATCTACATCTGTATTGGTTTGTGGAGGCCTCTGCAGATCTAAAAATGAGCAAGAGAGCTGTCATCTTTAAAGCTACGACCTCTAAGGAGCCTCCAGCTGTGAGGTCCCGGTTCACTAATCCTCGGGACAGAGTATGATATATTTAAAGCTGCTTTTTTTTTTTTTGTTTCAAAGTAAAAAGTCTAGGACAGAGGTTCCTGGGGACTGTCCAACATCCTTTCCCACGATGACATTTTGGTATAAACGCGAAGCTTGGATGGCCTTTTTTTTTTGCAGTTCCATACACGGCTGTGAACTTAAGAGGTAGTGCAAGAGAGTCTTCGAAGGGCAGTAATCCATGCTGTGATCGAACGTCCAAAACTCCTCCAATCCTGCTCTAAATAGGCGGGGAAGAGAGTGAATTTGATGATTGGATATCTTAGCACTTGGCAAACGATAAGAACGGGGGACCAGCCTTCGTGGATACCACAAACGTGGGTAAAAATAACAGAGTAGGCCACGGTACACAGCAACAGACAATTGTAAGCTACAAAGATGGACGCCACCTTAACAGCAATGGCGGTAAAAGAGCGTCAAAACATACAATAGCAGAGGAAATCAGAGAGTATTAAAGACACGGCAGGTTCGTCTCTTTATACACACACCAAATATTTTATATATTACTTTGTTTTCTTTTTCATTTTTTTTTTTTTTACCATAAGATGTATAAAAATAAATTTTCCTTCGTATCTGACTACAGCGAAGAAGCAGATGAACAAAATGGACGACGGACTGATAATAATCATCCAATTCTAGCGGTTTTTAATATGCGGCGTGATTTTTTTTTTTTTTAAAGTACAAATAAATATGGTGCAACTTAATATTTGTATGTCGATCATTTACAGGAAAGGCCGAATAATGCCTCAGCCAATGGAGTGCCTGCTGATGCTGTCATTGCTGTCTATTGGCCAGCAGGAGTCACTAGAGTGGTTCAAAGTCCATTTGGTTGAAAACCAGTAGAAGGCGCTGCCAAGAACAACCAATCCGGTGTTAGCTTTCCTTCTTTAAGAAAGGACAAATGTGGGTGGGGCAGGTTGCTACGGGCAATACTGCAGTGACTCTTTGCGAAATGGGCGATTTAAAAGGTCACTCCATCTGAAAGGGATAGTCCAGATTTAGGATCATCCTGGTAAGTTGAATCACTCAATCACTTTTTGACTCTGTGGTTGTAAACCCTTCCCCGTGCAGTGACTGGCCTCAGGTGATACACAGAGATGACACAAATCCTCCTACATAAGGTGTACCTGTTTATCTGTAGCCCTCTCTCCTCTACATCCATCCAAAGTCCAGAATTTATAAAACTTGTCTGAGCTTTCAGAAAGCAGGGAGGGGGGTGGAGAACTGAAGTTAAACTCTGTAGATATCAGTGAGGAGTACTCTGATTGCTGATTGGAGGGGAGGGACCCCCCTCTCCTACAGCACACAGGAACAGAGCTGAGACTGCCAATCGTAGGCTGTGTGTTGGA